CGTAATTGGGACAGTCTGACTTTTCTCATTTGTTTTTGTACAAAGATAATGGCATCCTGAAAATCCAGTGAAATCCCATCCTTGACCGAGCACTTGCAGCTTGGTATTAAGTGCTTTTCATTTGGTTAGTGGCAGTCACAGTTTCCTCCAGAATTGGACTTTTACTCAGTTCTCTTTTGGGCTCTGGTTTGGTGCGGTTGATGGCAGTATCATGTACTGTGACCTTTGCACTAAGGAGTGTTTAAAACTGCTCTGACTGTGATCCAGGACTGACTTTGTATTTGTGTCTGTGTGCAGTGCTTTGCTCTCAGTGCTCCTCGGGGAGCTTTTGTTTTGACTCAGGAGGCGATGACCTAGTGGTCTTGTCACTGGACTGTTAATCCAGAGACCCAGATAATGTTCTGGGAACCCGAGTTCGAATCCTACCATAGCAGATGGTGGAGTTTGAATTCAGTTTAAAAAAAATTCTAGAATTAAGAATCTAATGATGCTCATGATCCATTGTTGATTTGTCAGGACTAATGTCCTTTAGGGAAGGTAACTGCCATCCTTACCTGGTCAGACCAACATGTGACTCCGTACCCATAGCAATGTGGTTGACTCTGAACTACCCTCTGGGTAAGTAGGGTTGGGCAATAAATGCTGCCTAGCCAGTGACTGCCTCATCCTGTGAATGAATATAGAATATGCTAGTCCATAGATTTTAGTAAATTTTATACAAGCTTCTTATTTTGCCAGTATCAGTGTATTATTTGTTGACTTTTTATTTTGCAAGTGTAATCCACCAGTCATTTTGGTTGGTCCTCTGTTTACGTTGACAGGTGTTCAGTGCTTGATGGTAAGCTGTCCTTTCTCCTAGGCTAGTCAGCTGAGTTTGATGATGGACTTCTTTTTTATTGCTAGTGGATCTTGCATTTCATTAGCCAATCCCTGTTGTTCTTGGTGACTGATGACCTCATTGGAAGTATCCAGTGATGAGCTTTGTGTTCCTGCGATTCTTCTGGAGTGGATTCAGCACTGAGATCATCATGTTTCAGTTTCGTACATAAGATTGCTTGATGTCTATCTCTGCAAGATGTGGTTGACAAGTTTTGGACTGAATTTATTTAGTTTATCTGTTTTTCTGGCAACATGTCATCCTGTAGGTCAGAGACAATAACAAACTGCAGATGCTGGAATCCAAGGTAGACAAATCTCTGTCTGGGCATCCTACAGCCTGGAGGACTGCTCAACATTTTCAGTTCTCCAATTTCAATTTCAAATAACCTTCCCACCCATCCCCCAGCTCCCTTTCCAGCCCCACCACCTCCCTCCCGTTCCACCTGCTGACCCTCCCCTCCAGCCCCCAACCGAATTCATCCCTTCCATCTACCAACCAGGTCATACCTATCGTCACCGTTCTGCTACCCCTACCCCAACATTTGGTTCTGAAGAATGGTAATGCCTGAAACGTTGACTTCTCCTTTCCTCCAGATGCTGCCTGGCTTGCTGTGTTTTTCCAGTCGCCTGTTTGTCATCCTCTGGGTCACGCTCATTCATCATGACATAGAGTGGGGATGCAGTTGTGTAATTGTGTAGCGATCTTTTCAATGAAAAAAGGACAGCTGCTTATTTGCATGAAGTTCTAAGTCTGTTTTGTTAACGGTTTTCAACTCCATGGTTTCTGAGCACTCCCTTCCTTGTCAGGCTATTATGGTAAACAGTGAGATTGAAATTGCCAAAGATGACTATACTTTACTTTCCTTTTGAGGAGGGGCAATCTTAAAGTTGATGGAGATCGGTGCAGAACTTATCTTTGGCTGGGTTAGCCTTCTTGGTTAGATATAAACGCTGATGTTAATTGCTACTGCTGGTCTGGCTGTGGGAGGTGCACAGATATGTGTTCCGATGATCAATTTGGCAGGTTTCAAATTTTCCTGATAGTTTTCTTCTCCACAAAGCTGAAACTGGAGAGTCTTTGTTCACCATTCAAGGTTTAGTCAGCATTGCATTAAATCAGACTACCTTGCTCCAACAAGTAGACCTTATTCAGGGCAGTTGTATAAATGTTTTGTCTGACTTGCTCATGGGCTGCAGGGCCTGACCTTCATTGTAGTGACTTTTGTCACCAGAACTTGTAGCAAGTGGATTTCACAATTTTTCTCTTTTTCTGACCTTTTGAACGAGGTTAGGACTTCATGTTTTCTTCTTTGTCATAGTTTGGCTGCATTAAGAGTAACACATTGACTGCACCAAGGTATATTAGTTTGACGCATCTTTTCTTGGCCTCTTTTCAGTTCAGGAGCAAACAATTCAGTGCTTTAATTGGAAAAATTCAGTTGTTTAGACATTGTTATTGTTGGGGTAGGTAGTACATAGTGGTAAGTATTGAACTGGTCTAAATTGTGAGTGTGTGTCCTGTTTTAGTTTGTTTATAACTCATTTTGAAGAACGCAACCAAAATTACTTTATACTAAAAAGTGTATACATATGATAGGTGACTTTTTTTCTATATCTGCTCTAATTTCAAGCCCACAAATATGTATATGCATTAATAATATTGTCAGCAAGTTCAGTGATTTGGTTTCAAACAAGAGCAGTATCATCTAACATTCTTTGATTTCTAATTTAAAGAAGAAACATCCAGCTTGATTGGAGTTTCAGGAAGTGAAAAGGACTTCAGTACAGATTTTGATACATCAAAGAATTATTCGTTCAACAATTCTGGTTTTATGTATTTGAGTGAGGCTAGAACAAAGCTTTCGAACTTAAAAGCATGCTGTTATTTTAATGAGCCTCTGATTATTTTCCAAGTTTCAAGCTGTTTCTGACCCTACTTCTTTCACACTGCCAGCTTTCCATTCCCTATCTTTACTTACACATTTACTCAAAAGGATTAAACTTGAATATTGAGAACTTTAGAACTCCAGAAGAACCGGTTTGTTTCAGCTCCAATTAATAAACAAATATGGATTCCAAAATTTTGTAGGGAAGTGTAAGGTTTGGAGGTGCCTGTGGTCATAGAAACGGGAAATACTTTCAGGAGTTTGCAGCCTTTTTTTTTTGGTAACAAATCAAGTTTTTGTCATTTTGCTGCAAAGATTAGTTTGACAGCATGTGTAACATCTTATGCAGCATTAAATGTGGATGTAGGTAAATTGTATAGTTTTTATTTGCCTCATTACTGAATTTCAAAATGAAGTGATTCAAGATGGTCATCTCCTCATCCCAGGTATTGATGGAAACCCATATAATGGACTTCTTTCCTAATAAATTGGATGAGACACTATTTCACAATTTGAAACTTGGACTAATGTGAAATATTATTATGGTGCAGTCCTGCTGTGCATCAGGAAGCTTATCATGATGTTCAAAGAGACAAAATTGGAAAGACAGAATCCAGACCATCAATGGAATATATCATGTGGTGTAGAGTAGTAGAACTTTCTAATGTACTGCAGGTGTTTGTGCATGCATGTTTGCATCTATCTGGGCAGGCATGATGAACTGGCTTTTTTTCTATGCTGATTTGTCAGTTGTAAGTATTTTCTAATCAATCTGTTCAGAGATGTTATTACACAGAACCGGAGTAGATGGGACTTGACCTAGGGTCTCCTGGCTCAGAGGTAGGGAAACTACCATGTGCCACAAGAGCCCTCCATTTGAGTGCTT